GATCTACAAGGATGTAGATCCACTCCTCCCTCGTTGCTAGATGACTCCATAGATAGATCTTGGTGACACGTAGGAAAATTTTGAATTTATGCTACGTTCCCCAACAAGATGATCCATGACAATATACTTTATTTCGGATATAAGAAAACATAACCCATTACGTTGTCTTCCTTGTCCAACATCAACTTTTTAGCATGTCATATTTTAATGAGTGCTCACAATCATAAAAGATGTCCAAGATAGTATATTTATATGTGAAAACCTCTCTTTCTTTATTACTTCCTATTAATTGCAACGATGACCAAAACTATATTTGTCAACTCTCAACAACTTTTATTCATCATACTCTTTATATGTGAAGTCATTACTCTCCATAAGATCAATATGATCTCTTTATTTCCTTTTATTCTTACTTTTATTCCCTCAAGATCATAGCAAGATAACCAAGCCCTTGACTCAAAACTAATCTTTATTATGGCCCACAAACTCGATTACATAGAAGAATCATAAAGCAAAACTCAAAACTAAATCATATTAAAACTTTATTCTACTAGATTAAGATATTACCAAAAGGACCGAACTAAGAAAAACCGTAAAGATAGAAGTGTGATGGTGATACGATACCGGGGCACTCCCCCAATCTTGGCAGTTGCCAAGGGGAGTGCCCATACCCATGTGTTTATGTCTCCTTCCTCGGAGGTAGTGATGATGGAGTTGTTGATGATGTAGGCTTGTCGTCCATCTTCCAAGGCATAGGCTCACCATCATAGAAGGATGATCGAGTCTTCAAGATCCTCGAATCTGCAGCCAAACTCATCCTCTTGAATCTATATTCATACTTACAGTTTTTGTTTTGCAGGCCATAGATCTGGGCTTGGAGTGCTCAATTTTCTCGTGAAGCTTGAAGATGGTCTCCCCGATGTTCCTGGCATCTACCTTGGTGTTGCTAGTGAACACCGTGATCATTATGTGGTTGGCGTCGAGTCCACGTTCCACCATCTCCTGGCACTTGAAAACTTGTTGCTCCATTGCTTCGACTCTTGTCTCCACACTTCCAGTCCTCCTTGGTCCCTCGACATCACGGATATGCAGCAACCCCTCACGCATCTCAATGGTTTGAGGGTGTTGCAGCACCTCCGCGAGGTAGGGGTTGATGAACTTCTTGAAGAACTTGTCCTTGGGGGCACTCAAAGACGTCATGGCGACCTAGATCTGTGAGAAAAACAGCTCGAAACAAAGACAGAAGATATTTGCCTGATACGATTGTCAAAACCTTTGAGAGATTATATAATGAATTTTTATCGACCAAAAGAAGTATCGCACAAGAAAACGGAGTCCGAAGAGCACACGAGGTGCCCATGAGGCAGGGGGCACGCCCTCCACCCGTGGATGCCTCGTGTCCTTCCCGGACAGCTTCTTATTTTCCTATTTTCTTAAATATTCCAAAACGGAGAAAATTTGCAATTAGAATGTTTTGGAGTCGGTTTACTTACCATACCACATACCTATTCCTTTTCGGAGTCCGAAACATTTTGGAAGGTGTCCCTTGTATACTCCTCCGGGGTTACGGTTTCAATAACATTAGTTTCAACATTTATAGGATTATCTAAGATATAATGTTTGATTCTTTGACCATTCATCACCCTCGGATTTGTGTCTTCGAAGTTGTTATTTTTTATGGCACCGTAACAATAAACCTCCTCGATAATGTAAAGACCTTCCCATTTAGAGAGGAGTTTTCCTGCAAAAAATCTTAAACGAGAGTTGTATAACAATACATAATCACCTACATTAAACTCACATTTTTGTATCCTTTTGTCATGCCATCTTTTAACTTTTTCTTTAAACAGTTTGGCATTTTCATAGGCATGGGTTCTCCATTCATCAAGTGAGCTAATATCAAATAGTCTCTTCTCACCGGCAAGTTTGAAGTCATAATTGAGCTTTTTATGGCCCAATATGCCTTATGTTCTAGTTCGAGAGGTAAGTGCCATGCTTTTCCATAAACCATCTTATACAGAGACATACCCATAGGATTTTTATATGCGATTCTATAGGCCCATAATGCATCATCAAGTTTCTTGGACCAATTCTTTCTAGATCTATAAAGTCTTTTGCAAAATTAATTTAAGCTCTCTATTACTCAGTTCTACTTGATCACTAGATTGTGGATGATATGGAGATGCAATTCTATGATTAACATCATACTTAGCAAGCAGTTTACGAAAAACACCATGAATAATATGAGAACCACCATCAATCATTAAGTATCTAGGGACTCCAAACCTCGGAAAAATAACGTCTTTAAGCATCTTAATAGAGGTGTTATGATCAACACTACTAGTTGGAATAGCTTCTACCCACTTAGTAACGTAACCAACATCAACTAAAATATGTGTATAGCCATTAGAGGAAGGAAACAATCTCATATAATCAAAGCCACAAACATCAAATGGTTCAATAAGAAGTGAGTAATTCATAGGCATTTCTTGACGTCTACTAATATTACCAATTCTTTGACATTCATCACAAGATAAGATAAAATTACGGGCATCCTTAAAGAGAGTAGGCCAATAAAAACCGGATTGCAATACCTTATGTGCAGTTCTATCTCCAGCATGGTGTGCTCCATAAGTCTCGGAGTGACACTTGCGTAGGATCTGTTCATGTTCATGCTCAGGTACACAACGTCTAATAACACCATCTACTCCTTTATAAAGGTATGGGTCATCCCAGAAGTAATCTCTTAAATTATAGAATTTTTTTTTCTTTTGCTGGTATGTGAAACTAGGTGGTATAAATTTAGCAACAATGTAATGAGCATACCATGGAGCAATACGAGAAGCATTTATGACAGCTAATTGTTCATCAGGAAAGCTATCATCAATAGATAGTGAGTCATCAAGAACATTTTCTAACCTAAACAAGTTGTCTGCAACGGGGTTCTCAGCTCCCTTTCTATCAATAATATGCAAATCAAATTCTTGTAGCAAGAAAACCCATCTAATAAGTCTAGTTTTAGCATCCTTCTTTTCCATAAAATATTTAATACCAGCATGATCAGTGTAAACAGTTACTTTAGAATCAACAATATAAGGTCTGAACTTATCACAAACAAATACAACTGCTAAAAATTATTTTTCAATAGTAGCATAATTTATTTGGGCAATGTCTAGAGTTTTACTAGCATATTAGATAACATTTAATTTCTTATCAACTCTTTGTCATAGAACAGCCCCTACAACATAATCAGCAACATCACACATAATTCACTACAAGAAACTTGTTAATACATGATAGTCCTCGTTCGTCACAAATCAGCCAAATTTCTTTTAAGTTTTTTTAAAGAGCGAGTTACATGACTTAAAAGAAAATGCACTGCTAACATATTTTAATCTCCAACGACAACAACGATTGAAGGCAACTATCCGAAGCCAAGTAATTCCTGCTAAAAAACTTCAATCTCCAATAACATGGATTAACTACCAAACCTGTGTAGAATCAGAACACATTCAAAATTATAATATGTTATAAAAGCAAGCTCCCAAATGAATCCAAATAGTAATATTAGTTGATTTTCCAAGCAATCACCCGTGGGCACACCACTACTATACTAAGGTACCACGTAAATGCGGGGCAACACACGTGAAAACAAGCATAACTACTCCAAAGAAAAGTGTGTCAAATGAAAGTATAATCAAGTTAGCCTACAAGTGACAAGTAACAAACACACATCACAGAACTAAAAGTGCAGCAGTTGGTTCACCCATTGGTTCTGGACCGAACAAACAGTAAGTGTGTGGGGATAACCAGGCTGGGAGCTGTCTATTTTCTGGCCTAGCAAACAAACATGAGATTTCTCAAAGAAGAAAGCAAACAAACATGATACAGACAAGTACTTAGTTTTCTTTGTGAGAGGAAGTTGTGTGCCTGTTCAGGTATGTAGTTTATCTGATAAACATTTTTGTACTCTAAAAGAAATGTGAACAAAAGTGAGAGAGACAAGCACTTAGTTTTTTTTTGTGAGAGGAAGTTGTGTGCCTGTACATGTATTTAGTTTATCTGGATCAAACATTTCTACACTCTAAAAGAAATGTGAACAAAAGCGAGAGAGACAAGCACTTAGTTTTTTTAGTGAGAGGAAGTTGTGCGTGCCTATACAAGTACTTGGTTTTTCTGGATTAAAATTTTCTATACAAGCGATCAGCTGAAAATTAGATACTGTACCACACCATTCCTTAACAAACAAGAATGTTAGTAAAGAAGTGACAGACTAACTTCAAGATAATTAACACAAACTGGGCATAAACATAGGCTTGTACAGAATATATTAACTCAATGTTTAAATCAGAATCAACACCGAAGGATTTTTCATCTAACTCGATGTTTATGCTGCAATTTCATCTCAAAGCACCAACAAATACAGTACTAAACAATACTTGCTTGCCAAGTGAACTTCAAATGGCATGCAAAATATTAACACAGAATATGATACAGTTTCACTGAGAGACCTCCCACACTAATAGTTTAATTGTGGAGTACTAAGCGTATTACTTGTTATTACATGCAAAATTCAAAATCTGTACTGGCAGACTCAGAACCAATGAACACCAAGAGATAGCAACTCTAGTGGAGTATCAATAAAATGCATAACATCAGGGAGATTGTACAATGCAGATTTTATGCACACAAAAATATCTGTACAGTTATAATTTTACTGGAGCCACACAACAGTCCACACCTTGAACAGCTCAAAATCTACAGCCTGAATAATTCGCATCAAGAATGGAACGGTATGAAGCTCACCCTGTTCTGCTCGAGGACTGTGGCATCGGCGTCGATCAGGTGGGAGATGTACTGACTATAAGTCAAAAACGTGAACTACCACACAGCTTGTCTTCTTCTGCGGACATATCTTTCACGCACACATGTGTTATTTCAGTGTTATTGAACCTTAAACAACAAATATAAGTCAAAAAATTGTACCAACAAGAAAACTCTTAACCAGATTCAGGACTTTCTCCAGTTGTTGGCTGCTTGTCTTGACTGCCGATGGCACTGCTTGTGCTGGCCAAGAGAAATGGTCGTGGTTGTTCACATGCCGATCTCCCCTGGGGATGGATGGATGTTGGGTACGTGTGTGCACCTGCAAAAGGAAGAAAATCAATCACACAAGCACACAACAAAGCACCCAGCAAGCACACACATAGTACAGCAGCAGCAAGCACACAAGTAGTATGGCAGCAGCAAGCACACATGTAGTATGGCAGTAGCAAGCAAGCGCCCAGCAGACAGGTCGACCACGACAAGCAACAGCACGAGAGCAGGGGTTGGGAATAAGTTACCTTGCTGACAAGTGACGATGGGCGGCTGTGGCGGCGGCAAGGCAGAAGCTGGCAGAAGCAGCGACTTTATGAACATTGTCTTGAGGAGACACAATCGATGGAACTTGTCAGTTAGTAATACCTTGCTTTCAACAACAACAAAAGATCCCTGTTTATATGATAACAATACATATCAGTAAAAACAAAAGAATGTCTATGAGCCAATTTTAGACGTGGTAACAGATTATCAGTACAAACTAAAACACGCCATAGATATACAATAATGTTTTCTCTAGAGGATATTTTTACATTGCCTTTTTAAAATCATAATTTTGCTTATTTATCAGATGCATAGTGCGCCTTGGCAAATTATTTATGTGCTCCGCTTTTACAAATCAACGGGGATGGGAAAAATATTACTATTGAGTTTAGACGTATGCAGTCACAAAAAATGTCTGGTTTAGATGTATAGATCGGGTAGATGAATCAGTGGGCTATGGAAAATGTATCCCTTAAGTGTACTGTTTGGTTGTTTCCAGATTAGTATTATTTTGTTACAAAAAATTATCAGGAAAAGCACAAATAAGAATGCACTCGCCAATGTCCACCCTAAGTTTTCAGAGTTTCAGCTGACTTGCTCTAAGAATATGAAACACAAAGAATTCTCCTCTGTTTGTCTAAGCTAGCTGACTTGGCTATTTCTCCTCTGCTTTAGCCTCTAAATCAGATGTTTTAAAAGCAATCTCTGAATGAACTTTATTTTACTAGCTACACTACATCACAATATTACCTTCGGTGAAATATTACCTCCACAGCATTGCCTTGAGGAGACGCGCGCCACGGATGGAGAAGACGTCCGCGATGATGAGGGGACTAACGTCGGCGTGGCTGGCGGACAATTGGACCCGGCCACAAGGGCCGTCCATCTACTCTGGATCCGGGGCGCTATAGCCACCTCCTGTAACTCGCCTTCGCTCGCCGCCGGATGGAGATGGATCCGTTCCCGCCGCCGGCAACCTAAGGGACTTCCAAATCCAGCACTCCCGTAGCCGGTGACCTCGGGGACTTACAAATCCGGCACTTTGTCCAGCCGCCGCCACTGCCGCCATGGCTCAGGGGTAGGACCGGGCCGCCGTAGCTCAAGGGGGTGGTCTGAATGGGGAGGGGCATGGCGTGGGGTAGTAGGGCAGGGCTCCGATGCGGGGTGGTTCAGCGCTGGCGCCGCCGGCGACGACATGGAGAAGCGCGGGGAGGATAGGTGGAGCGGCGGCGGCTGATAGTTGGGGACGGGAGGAGATCGGAGAAGGATATTTAGGGTTAGGCTAGTGTGGATGTGGACTCTGTAGTTAAATGGGCTGGCTCCAAATTTTTGACCCCCCGCGTTGGAGACTTGAAATTTCCCTCCTCGCGCCGTCGCGCGCTCTCAGTTTCGGTCTCTGTTTTTTTATGTATGTGTAAGACTAGCCACAGTGGGAGTAATTTCAGTAGTAACATCAAGTCCAATTCAGCAAATTTGCTTATGTGGCAATGAATTAATGAAGGGAGAGGTAGTTATAGTAACTTAGCTAGTTACTGTAACATCACATATCCCAATGTAATATGAATTTATAACCTAATAAATGAATCTTTGCATGTTACCACACTTAGTTACTACCCACTATGAAGGTAGTAACATAGTCTAGGGATATGTGTATGTTACTAGTGTATGTTACTATCCATTGTGGCTAGTCTAATGTTGATTGCATTCGATTGACACGTGGGTCAAACAAAAAGACATACTACTACACGAAACACAAGAGCCATCCATAACAGTCCAAATGGTACATAAAGAAAAAGAGGCTAGGCCCGACTAGGCCCGGTTGATCAATCTGTGACAGTTTTTGTGACGGTCCCTCGATGTTCGGAGTAAACGACTTGCCGTTTTGAGGCCCATTCGCACTTTGGTAATCAGTGAGGTTTCCATGACGGTTTGCGGGAACGTCATCAGAAATCCGTCATGGATTAACAGGTTTCTTGTAGTGGTTTCAAATGGTAAATTCCAATCAGGTGGTTGAATAATAGGTATAAAAATCAAAGCTTTCTTAAGTATTTCAAATGCTTCTACACAATCATCATCAAAAATAAAAGGAACATCTTTTGTAAGAGATTAGTCAGAGGCCTGGAAATTTTCGAGAAGTCTTCAATGAACCTCCTATGAAAACCGACATGACCAAGGAAACTTCTTATACCTTTAATGTCCTTAGGACAAGGCATCTTCTCAATAGCATCAACTTTAGCTTTATCAACTTCAATACCTTTTTCAGAAATGTTATGCCCTAAGACAACTAGGAAAACGCCCGTGCGTTGCTACGGGCTATAATGCATTTAAATGAATAAAAAATTGATTATGGTCATCTTTGAGTTCAAAGCTCATTTCTCCCTCACATGTCAGGGTGTGCGCGGGCATCAAACGGGCACCCAGCAGGCTCAAAAAATTTCAACCATCCACACAGCCTGGGCTTCTTCAAATCCAACCCATATGTGTGGGAGAAATGCGTTTGTCTCGACTATTTGACATGTTATCTCCAACATGCGATCCAATAAAAAAAACCCACCCAACAACACACCCTTTCCTTTTCTATGGACGGCGATGGTTTGAAATGCATTTGTTGGGTTTCTCGAGAGCTATCAAACGAAATGATAGTCCGATTTGCGTACATAAAAGTAAACACCATGTTAACCACATATTAGCTATTTGGCAAGTACCATGTGAAGATTACATGCATGACATTTCCGTGCATTTACACTACAGAAAGAAGCAAGGAATAGTTGCCTGATCACTACGCACTTGCAATTGGAAGTGTTGTAATCTTTCACATTATAAAGAGAGCAAAAGGTAAAATGTTGGAGTTTATTCCACTTCATTTGTGAAATCGCACACGCATATAAAATTCAATGAGCAGATATATAGCTTGGAATAAAATATATTGGAAAGAATTATATTTATTAAACGGATGAAACAAATTAATCAGATGCATCTCCATGAGCAAAAAAAAATGTCTGCCCAAATATGTGGGATATGAGATTCATAAATGTTGTAGAATATTTTTACTTTCCTGTAGGCACCATACAATGGTCAGTCAAATAAAAAAGTCAGTGAATGATATAAAGAATAACGAGTAAGGCAGGAAATATGCAATTTGATGAGTAAGGAACACATGTGCAATCTCTACTATCTCTACTATCTAAAAAACACGTAGTGTTCCTTTTCCTGCAAACAGGACCGTCTCCTGCCCATGTTTCGTCCATCCACCAGCACCGAAGCCTTCTGTCGAAACAACCCTCCACTTCTTCGTTTTATTACAGCGCACCCCCGTACGTTAATCTGTCCCACCACCGACCGGTATGGCAATCGAGAATCACCATAATTAACTTTTCCTTTTCTTGCCTGCCATGAATACCATGAATCACAACATCATGAATCACAACGTAATTATATCTACTATAGTTTTCCATTCTTCCATACATCCATACATGAAAATAAAGGCGCAAAATCAAATTTCCAGTCGCTGGTGCTTCCTGGCGCGAAATAAAACTTCCAGGCGCTGGTGCTTCCCGTGTGTCTCCATCTCATATAAGGAGATCATCCATTCCGGCTTATCTGGACCCGTCTACAATGCCAAATATTTTTTTTCGACACGGATCGTGGTTGATGGCGTAAGGTGATTTGAGGAGCATTGGTTAGGAAGGTGTCTGCACAGTAATTAATACCATACCAAATATTCGGCCAAAAGGTGAACACACAATAATTATTAGCAGGCATAATCTTCGGTCAAAAGTTCAATGATTGGTTTGTAACATAAATGCATGCGCAATCCTTAAACAATGGACAAAATTAAGATAGTACTGGATTCCTACATGGAGTACAGCCGAAAGCAACCAACGTTTCATCATGGTTATTCTTTTTTCTATATCAAAATTTCATTTGGCGAGTCCTTTTTCTATTTATAACAACAATGGAAAAAAGCATTTCTAAATATATTTTCCTCGCTTTTCACAGCTAGAAGTCATACGACGAATCATGTTTGTGATCTAAGAGATGGAGAGTGAGAGAGGTGTTGAGATTGGGTTGGAAAGGCGGAGGGGCGGAGATGGTCCGTGAGAGAATAAGAAGTGATTTAACGCTAATGACAATACCGTGGGATATGCATGAGTGTAGTAAAGATATATGCTAAATATTATTGGTGTTGACCACTAAAATTTGTATGCCCCTGTTACAGCGCACGAGCATTTTCCTAATAGAGAATTATAAATGATGTTACTTTTGTAATTTCCTTGTGAGAGAAGTATATTACCATATGAAAGCAAGCGGTCATGTGAGATAGAGATAACTGCAAAAATAGAAAAATATGGTAATAAACTTGCAATATAGAATTAGAAATCTTTGTAGCCTTGGAAGTTTATCTATCCATATTGTATTGGAAAACGGAAACCATTATTCGTAGAATTTTATCTATATATGTTAATGTTTAAGCATAATTTATGATGACAATACAAAATTAACTATTGTAAGATAATGATCTCAAATTCAAGTTGTTCTTCAATGGAAATTCAATAACACACACAACAAGATGCATACATAAGGTTACAACCCGGTATTTACTCCATCATCACCTACACAATTAGAAGAATGATTTCTTAAAAATTTAAGAAGTTGCTTGGATGCCAATTAAAGGTATGAGAGGGAAACAAAATATAAGCTTGTTTTTGATCAGTCATATAAATGACATCATATCAACAAGCACTATTGCCCGTGATTTTTTTCACGTGACAATATTGTTGGAATTATGCCCTAGAGGCAATAATAAATTAGTTATTATTATATTTCCTTGTTCATGATAATCGTTTATTATCCATGCTAGAATTGTATTGATAGGAAACTCAGATACATGTGTGGATACATAGACAACATCATGTCCCTAGTAAGCCTCTAGTTGACTAGCTCGTTGATCAATAGATGGTTACGGTTTCCTGACCATGGACATTGGATGTCGTTGATAACGGGATCACATCATTAGGAGAATGATGTGATGGACAAGACCCAATCCTAAGCATAGC